GAAGAATTATGATGCTACTTAATTTATATATATCTATATTCCGACGTCTAACAATGGCTTTTGTTTCCTTTGGCAACTGGCTATAATCTTATCTAAAGCAGTTAGTTCCCTTCAGAAATTTGAAAAGCACGGTAAGAAGACGAAAACTGGTAGATGCATGCATTTCGTATTGTCTCCTCAGTACCATTAACAATAACCGGTATGCAACTATATACTTAAATATGTGTGTGACCAAATAGGCATAAGGTGAAAAACGAATGACGGAAGTTCCACACCTATGTCCACGGCAGTCTTAAGCTGATAAATAATTGCTTTTGAACACACAGGGCCGGCTTCATCCGGCTTATCGCAACCGCCTCGGCGAAACGGAGGAAGCGGGGATTAGGGTGACGTAATACAAGTGTGAACGCTGATCCGAGCTCTATCCGGTGACGCGTAGTCAGTAGGTGTTTACCTATTGAGGAAGCTGGCGGTTTGCGCAAGCACGGAACTTCAGTGGGACAGGGATTCTGGTCAATTTCACGTTGAACCCACCTTGGCACGTGTTCCTTTATTCGGGAAGTCAAAGACCGATTGGTTCTGCCTATGTAACTGTCTCCGCAGTCGCATACGAATTTGTAAATGCAGTGTGAGTTGGCCCTTATCGGTTGAGCTTCCTTCGTTGGAGGCACCGTCAAGTTACAGGTTCTATTGATGACCACAACCTGAGCAGCACAGTAACTTCTCTGCGTAGCAGAGATTAAACGTTTCGTGGTTTTCAATACAGTAAAGTCACCCTTGAAGGGCAACTCGATATAGATCTTTTTCTTGGCAGCCGTATGCACCAAGTCTTTTGGGTCTCGCTGTTGGCTGTGCTTCTCTATAAATCTACGTGGATAACCGTTTGCAATGAGTGTTGTTGCAATTAACTTTAGCTCGTCGGCTAGACAATCAGCGGAGCAAATTCGTCTAGCACGACTAACTAAAGTTTTCACAAGGGTCCGCTTGTACCGCACTGGTGTGAAGCTGGTGAAGTGCAGGTATTGGCCGGACCAGGTTGCTTTTCTGTAGATAGACCTTCTAATGAGCCCGTTATCTCTGCGACTGATGAGGATATCTAAGAAGGGCAGACAGTTCTTCTGTTCCACTCCGCTGATTGTTTAGCCGACGAGCTAGAGTTAATTACAACGACCCTCGTTGCAAATGGTTATCCACGTAGATTTATAGAGAGACACAGCCAACAGCGAGGCCCGAAATACTAGGTGCATACGGCTGCCAAGAAAAAGATCTATATCGAGTTGCCCTTCAAGGGTGACTTTACTGTATTGAAAACCACGAAACGTTTAATCTCTGCTACGCAGAGAAGTTACTGTGCTGCTCAGGTTGTGGTCATCAATAGAACCTGTAACTTGCCGGTGCCTCCAACGAAGGAAGCTCAACCGATAGGGGCCAACTCACACTGCATATACAAATTCGTGTGCGACTGCGGAGACAGTTACATAGGCAGAACCAATCGGTCTTTGACTTCCCGAATAAAGGAATACGTGCCAAGGTGGGTTCAACGTGAAATTGACCAGAATCCCTGTCCCACTGAAGTTCCGTGCTTGCGCAAACCGCCAGCTTCCTCAATAGGTAAACATCTACTGACTACGCGTCAATGGATAGAGCTTGGATCGGCGTTCACATTTGTATTACGTCACCCTAATCCCTGCTTCCTCCGTTTCGCCGAGGCGGTTGCGATAAGCCGGCCCTGTGTGTTCAAAAGTAATTATTTATCAGCTTAAGACTGCCGTGGACATAGGTGTGGAACTTCCGTCATTCGTTTTTCACCTTATGCCTATTTGGTCACACACATATTTAAGTATATAGTTGCATACCGGTTATTGTTAATGGTACTGAGGAGACAATACGAAGTGCATATAATCTTATCTGCCAAATTACCTACTTCCTCGAACTCCGTCTTCCTGGGGATACGGGTTTACATCGTCCAAACAAAAGGTTCGGTGGTGATTTCACACCTAGTTATCGTTCCCGCCGTAAATAGCCACAAACATTCACTTAGCAACATTGCGACTTGGCGGATGCGAGTTGCCACTAAATAAAATCACTATTCCTTACACCTCACCGACATGGGACATTACGGAACAGTGGATGGTGAGATGTATTGGACTCCGTTTAGCAACGCACCAAATGGAAGGATAATTACCAGAAAAAAGTGGTCGCTGGCTCCCAATGGGCACTTCGCTCCTATGCCTAGTGTGTAAGCTATTAAGCCAAAGGCTCTAGATCAGTTCCAAACAACGGCTAGGACAACTGGGTAGTACCATCCTTTCTGAAGTAGCCATGGATCGTTCATTTTTTACGCTAACTGTACTCCTTTTTGAATTCGATGTCTTCTACAGCTCCTTGTTAGTCTATCAGACTGTAGCTAATAAATAGGAATGCATCGCATAGTGATTTTCATTCATTTCACACATCCAGTTTATTTTTGGAGTCACCGTTACTCTTGGTCGCTGAAAAGTACATCAGAAGCTGAACGGATTGAGCCACCTTCGCAACCAGAGGTCAGTACATCAGCGGTGTCATTAGGAGCGAGCTTATACGTCGGCACAACTATGTTACCCACAGTAAGGAATCGGAAATGGCACTTCAACACGCACCGTGACACTCTCAGGGGTAGAGGACATATTCAGCTAAAGATAATGAGGGAGTAGCCAGTATATCAAGCTGTAACGGAAACTCCATTACTTGATTACGCCTTGTTCATTTTCTGTAACCCGGCGTAGAATGCGTCCCGTCACCGATACCATTGCGCCCGTTCACCCGCATCCACCACAGTTACAATCCGGCCCCCTGGATCTACAGATTTTTAGGTAGTATGTGAATCACCCGCTAGCCCGATCGCATGTGATCTGATAGCCCTATTTCCTCTCCTCTATGGTGTACACGGGATCACGTGATCATTACACTGGCGCAGTCAAATCAGAGGAGTTACAGTGCATCAACAGTACGCCGGTACGCAGTACCGACGCTACGCTGCCGCGCAACCACCACCAGTCGCATATGGGCTAGGGATACTAAGAGGTTCACTTGGTCCTTATGCAAGCTGGGATACGCGCCCTTGCATTACAAGGCAGGTTTGTGATCATTAAGGCTCCGGGCCGTACGTGTCCGGTTCGGCTTGCGCTCCCACGCCCACTGCATGCACCCGGTCCTAAAGATGGTTCTCAAATGCGTTCACACTGTACCCGCGACATTTTCGACATAGCGACGACTGTGTGCATTGTGCGCGGTGTGCAAGACGTGTAAACTCGTCCAGAACTACGTTGTGAGGAGGCGTTGTTAGGTTTTGCCGTGGTTGATTATTTAATATTGTCAAAGTCACTGCCGTAATCACTCTCAGCTTTGACTTTACATTGGCAATGGTTCTATGCGTTATCCAAAGTAGAGGACCGACTCGTCGTTTACATATTATTTCAATATTTCACGATGGTCGAGAAGCTACCACTGAGTAGATGAAACAGTCGATGGGCCTGTTACAATGGCACCGGACGCGCGGAACCAAGCAAATGAGTTGTGAACACTTATGGCCCATACGGCGCAGAGTGGACGGAGTTTAGCTGGCGTGCTGCCTTGAAGCCATGTCATCTAATCCGATTGGTCGTCACACCAAACGAGTGAGGATAAGCGTAGGCCTTTGAGGATTGGACACAGTATGGACGGAGATAGTGGCAGGTTGGGAACAGTTACTGCAAGCAGATGTACGCAATTCACCCACTTGCCTAGTAACGCAACCAACCAAGGCGCCTATGGAAACTGTAGATATCGGACGCGTAAAACATGTACAAAGGAGCGCTAACGTCATGTTGAGATGGCCCAATCTGGTGTGCGAGAAACGACGTTTTATGTTAACATTTGAAAGCGAGTCACAACAAATGCCGTTCTCACATTAGTTGTTTTTCTTGTGCATGTGCTACATTATTTCCAATGGATTTGTTCTCGGCCTGCAAGCGAATATCCATCATCACATACTCACCGCAACACTAACCCAATGGTTTTGACTATTTGTGCATGAGTCCTCTAGATGCATTTTCATATGTAGTTCGCATTTCCCTCATAGGATACACCAGCGTTACCTCTCGTGCATCCTGTACCCGGTGGAGATGTACTCAATTTCCACACGCTTTAGCAGTGGATAGTGTGTTCGAAGTTGTGATACCCCGTCAACTTGTTTGGGCATTTGGTAAACAAATCCGTTATGCTGCAGGAAAACGGTGCAACTATTACCGTTAATCAGGAGTTGGTGCCCAAAATGACAACCCACCAATGGTGACACGTAGCCTCAGTGAATCGTACTTGGACAACTGATCGTGCGCCGCCATACGGTTTACACTCGACTCCGTGTGACATGTTGGATATGACTGCAAGTAACCTGAAACCTAGGGTTGCGAACCCATTCGGCAATATCACTGCGGTCAATGGTAGTAACGGTGGACTGGTTTCGCGGTAGCGTAGGACCCCAAGAGCGATTTGATCGTAGAACGGGCTGAGACCCAATCCGACGAGGCACCAATACTAGCAAGTCAGTGATCCTAGGAAACGCGGATGTCTTCAGTTTCGACAATGTTCAAAGCTTGAAGTACATTTTGTGCGGTTTAAACTTCACAGGTGTGATTGATGAAGCGACGGCGGTGCGGTTTCGCTTCGAAACAATGACAGTTATCAACCACGCTTTATTCCTTTGGATTTGCGATAGTATGTGCATGTCATACAGTACAAAATATCGGTGTTCCCATCACCTAGATTAGGTATCAAGCGAACATCCACACAATAATGATACACGTTAGCTAGAGGCGGGAAACACAGCTATTGTGCCGCATCCATATCGGGCAGGAGATGAAACTGGACACTACTGGGTAGCCCATCGGCACTAGTCTATCGAAGACAAATGCTAAGTCTGTATGCCAAGCAGCAAGAAGCCGTAAAGTGACTCGCTTGTTAAATCAAGTGAGATCGCGAATCTTGATCTTATCGTCCCGAGAACCGTCATGATGAACCAGACGAGAATTAATGAACGAAGCAACGAAAACAAGTGGAAACGTCCGCTTCACCGAGCGTGTGATCGCAAACATTCATCGACTGGGAATCAGGAGCAAGTGAACGTGAGTACGCATACGAAGCGCGTAGTCTAAAAAAAGCCGACAACAGCTGCAGCAAGGAGTAATGTATAAAAACGGTGATCAGTTCAATGCTGTTTCAATATCAAAAGATGCAAAGAGAATCAACGAAACGTTGAAATTGTGATAGTTGGGGTGAACTGTAAGAAAGTGTCCGTGTTTCTACGACAGCACGGTAGCGTGCTACAGCTCGAGATAGTTCTATGGAAGATGGGTTACAGAGAGGATGCGGGAGAGGTGAAATGATGAGCAGGTTTATGAGATCGGTTGCAAAAGAAGCCGCTGGCGGCAGAGATTCACAGCATGTGGTCCACATGATCGAGCAGTTTCGGGGCTTTGGCAGTAGTAAGACGGACCTCGGGAACACTTGTTTGCCATTGACTCAATTGACTTAAGCCATACGCGAGTTTCGCAGTGTTTCACAGCTCCCGGCCCGCATCTGCGAGCGTTCTCCGGCGACTGGCACCAGTAAACTGCTCCCCATGTACAAACGTTCTGGCCAAATTTATCTAACACAGTATCACCACGTTTTGACGTTCCCGTCCACTTTTCATCGGAGAACCAACTTAATGTATTGCAAAGGTGGGTCATGCCGCACATTTCAGCATTTCGTCTTGAAGAGCATGAAAACAGAGGGCCACTGGCACATGCGAGGGCGAAGGCAGATACCTTGTCTTTGTCAGCTTCGTTTAGTTTCGGTTTGCATAGTGACATATTCTAAACGGAAATAAGCGGCGTAAAAGGGTTAGTAACAGGTAGAATTTTGGCGGGAATAGGTCAAAGTGTCGACAAACTATTGTAAAACGGATCTTTTTCGCGCTAACCTTGCATAGCTTTTGTTTATCTGTTCCATAACGAAGAGCATCATAAAGTTCACGTTTCCGTTCCATCACGGCGCCGCACTGAAAACGGAATAAGAGTACCAATATAGTAACAAAAGTTCATTCATCGAGGTTTCTGCAATTAGAAGTGTTAGTATGTTTATCGCACGTGACTCAGGATCACATACTTTGCTTATATCGACCGGCAAAAACAGATAAATAGAGAAACATCACCTCAAAATTTGACTCACGAACACGTACCAGTGACTGACTGAGTGCAGCACAAACTGTCGTTTGCCATGCGTCATTAGGTGAACACTGAGGAAGAACAGCACAATACGGAAGGGTAACTCACTTGTTTCCTGTCATCAGTATCTTCGAACTCTAGACAAAACGATTTTGAAACAATCGTGCGCCTGAATAGCCTGTTATGAAGTCTCATGCGATCAACCAGTAGTTCGCAGATTGTGCAGTTGTAGACGACCGGGGTTCTCGCTTGCAGGTGGCTCATGTCATTATGCTGCATATGCTGGGAAACCATTTGAAGGTACTGGTTTGCGCGATGTAGGATGCATTCGTTGGTTCGATTGCACATATGCTCAATCTCAAAGCTGCTGCATATGTGATCCAGATTTCGCGATCGACAGAGGCCCTCCAATTCCACTGTTGACCGCTGCTTCAGATGCGTGAATGACCGCCAAAACCGCATTGCGTTGCATAGGATCGCATATGGAACGCTTGAGAACCACAGCGATGGCCCACGGAGACAAATAGCTGGATCGGTTGTGCGATTGATAGAGGGACAAAGGCCAAGTGTCTGGTAAGTTAACCGAAGACGGAGGATGTAGAGTCAGCTGCATACGTTCAGGAAGGATCAACCCATCGGTTGATCGTTTTCGCAGCGGTTATACATTTAATGTGGGATAGTATAGAGACGTTTCCATATCGGTCTTGATTAGACCACAGCATGGAATGACACGATTGGACATAAAGTGGGAAACCTATTGAGGATATTGTATCCCGAACATTATTTGTGGCATAAAAGTAGCTGGTGAACTGCGCTAACATCTACACTCCGGAGTAGAGCAGGGTGTTCATACCCTGAAATGTCTTCGGTTATAAAGCAAACAAAATCGGTTATTAGCAACCTATCAAGAAGGTTAGTGCATTTGTAACTAAAGTATCAAGTACTGATCAGTAGCGTCACAAGGTATAGATTTGTGAGCACCGTCTCGTGTAAACTGGAATATCAGTGAACTTAACAGCCTCCGGACCGAGCAAGCAGGCACTTAGCAAGAGTGCCAAAATGGTTGCTGTGAGGTGCTGAGCGAATGACGGATTTCCACTAGTGCGCCAACGGGATTCCTCAATATTGTGGTTGCAGTGGGGATTTGCGTGGATGGTATAGTTTTATTTTGTGATAGGGGATATTCGAATTGTCTTCAATCCTGAACTGTAGTTGCCGTGATCGAATAACCAAGCATAGAATGCGGTTTTATCACCACCACCACCACCATCATCATCATCATCAGCACCATTACCACCACCACCATCATCACCAATACACGTTAGCTGAGAGTGAGAAACACCTCAGCTAAGGTGCCGCAATACGAGAAGGTAAGAGATTAAGCAATGGAGACATAATGCTAAGATCATATTTTTGTTGGTTGTTGGTTAGGGAAGCTAAAGAGAAGGGGGATAAAGAGACTTAGTCATAGTTATGTGAAAATGATTTGATTTGACCGTCGTGCGGTGAATAGTGCCGCGGGCTACCTTTTATCTAGTTAAAATGAAGTTCCTGGCGACTGGATTCAACTGAGTTGCAAACATTTAGTCAAGGAAAACGCTGCATGCGGTGGCAGTTAGTTAATTCATATGTGGTCGGGGTTCAATTAAGGGGTGGCTAAAATGGCATTTTATCACGCAAGTGTAGTTGAGACCCGTGAAAACGAGTGTCACACATTAAGGAACATAGAGTGTTTCTTTAGAGGCGAACGAATGTGGTGAAGTGAAATGCAAGCAATAAGCATTAGCAAACCTGGCACACTTCTTCCGCGGTCATGCTCTCCTCAATGTAACGGATAACCGTCGACAGATACGTGTCAACCAGGTTCATGCACTGAAATCAGGAAATAAGTGGAGCCATTTGGTAGTAGCAGTCGAAAGAAATAAGATGATGATAGGAAGATGATTTGATGTGAGTGTCAGAGAGCAACTTGAGACGAATCTCAATGAATTATTCGGAGCAAATTACGTTGAAGCATATCTAAGCTAAGGGTAAAAAGAACAGTTTCGTAGCATTATTCAAGAGCGCAGACATTAAGCAATGTCAAGCAGGCTTCACTCACCTCATTGACATAGGATTGGGGAAGTTCAGTACACATACGTTTCACGAGCTCATCAAGCCTGTCCTCGGTGGCGTTTTGTTGCAATTGGTATTTGACAGCTTGGATGACGAATTTGCAAACCTCGCAAGGCGCACTTTGTAGTACAGTAGCAGGCTTAAACGAAACGTAAAAGAAGCCGTTCTGGTGCGATTAAACTACCAAAGCAAAAAAACACTTCGCAATGGGCCGAAAGTATCGTTGGCGAAAAGGTATCATAGATGAAGTTAAGGTGAGAACAGGGAAACGCAACCTAGGCTCACTAGAGCCAGAACGATACAATTCATTGATACGTGAACAGTGCAAAACCGCGAACAGTACATCGCGGTGATACGCGGGAGTGAACGAATTCACAACGGTGCTGCACGCTGTAGCCAGGCGAATGAGGATATGACCAAACAAAGTAGTGACTGGCCGCTGGGCTTAGGTGAACACAATAAGGTGGTGAAGCAGCCGAAGCTTGCACTTGGGTTGATCAGCAACTAGGGTGTATCTGCTATATCAATACCACGAGGACGTGAATGTTTGCACCTCAGGAAATAAATCACGCCTTCCATGACCGACTTTCAATTTATTACTTTGCTCAATATAATGTAACGGCTTGGGCAACCGGGTAGTATCTCGCCCTCTGACGAAACCATGGACATTGTTGTGTTGTGTTTCCCTTTCTGTACCTTCGTTTGAATCCCATGGTTTCTGATGGCATTATGTCTATTCGTAGACCTTTGCAAATATATGTATATATATATATAACGTGTGAAGGTAATTTTCAAGAGAACAATATCGAACTACTATACAGCACCGGACTAAGCAAGATCATCTAAAGAAAGTAGGCATACTTGAGTGGTCGACGCATGATCCATGGTGATGAACATATTTGAATCCGATCCACACAGATTGAGAAGGTGGCAAATGGCTTTCGGGGCAGTACCCTGGATGATCGCTTTTATAATTTCTGGTCCGTAGGTGTCGACGAGTACATAGCACATGGCGTTGTAGGTTAGTGGCACATAGCCGCATACCTAGATAACAAACAAGAGAAGAATTAGCGAATAGGGAGTGGAATTTTACAAACTGAAAGAGACTAGTACACACTGCGTCCTCGTTAGGTTAGCGCATGTGACTCCCAGAGCCGATGGTGGGGTCTGTGTCAAACCTCAGCTACGAGTGAAAAGATTGGTGGATCTCCGACGTCCGTGTGGCCTGGATAGGTGCCGATACTAGGAAAATGTTCAAAGCTGAACGACTGCATACTGAGAAGGCAATCAGTATGGGCCTACACACTTCCAAAGGTAAGGGATGGATTATTTTATTACAAAAGTGGGAACCTCAGCATCGCTGAAACATAACTAGAGTGGCTGCACGCTAGTCAAGATACTGCAAGGACATTCTAACCCAAAATATAGGGGCTAAGGTAAAACAGTCCCAACCACTGAACCACAGATCGCTCAATGACGCAAAAAAGTTATGCCGCATGAAATCGCTAAATATGCCCCACAAACGACACCGAAATAGCACAAAATCGCAAGAAAGTTTGCTAACTTCTTGTTCATGTGCAACGTGACAGTTTGAGAGACTTAGGTAAGTGAATAACGCTGCAGACTCCATATTAATGACCCTGGAGAGATATGAGGAGAGCTTGTGGTGACAAGCCGATCCAAAGTTCGTTCCTTCAAATTAAGCCAGGTCCTTTACCAACCAGTTGTTTCCATAGCTGTCGCCCTAGATATCATAGCGAACTCAAATTGTTCGACAGAGCACAAAATCTCCTCCCTTCAAACTGCTAGTGGCTGCGTCACACAAGAGATCGGCTTAAACTTGTTGTTGTCTATCGTACACAGCAATAGTGTCCATGTACTTTTCAGGGTCCAGCATTTGTCTTAGCAAATTGCATCAACACTGCTTGTGACTCACTGCCAAAAGCAGTATGTTTATTTACTAGTAAAATCCAGGAAGAATTGAATAAGCCGAATTAGAGGTACAATGAAAAATGATTATTTAAGCCGATATATGAAATGGAAACACGTAAAAACGCGCAGTGAAGACTTTTCCTGTTCCATCGAGATATCCTGATAATAATCTTGAAGACCTAGGCATTCTCTATTCCAATTGTATCAATAACGACGACCAAAGGAAATACGACCCATCGATGGAAATACGATCGCCTACATGTGGTTTAAGCTGACTGAAGCTAGGCCAAAAGTATGTAAACGATAAACGAACAAGTAGGACAAACTGGTAAACAGAAGCATACAAAGTTCCCTTAAGTAGTTGAGTGCTCGGGGATGCACCATGCCTCACTTACAAAAAAATTGCGACAAACAGAAAATTGAACAACTGGATCCGACATACCGGCTTCGGCCTATTCCCTCAGAGGAAGTCATAAAGGCGGACGCATCTTACTGCTATTATATAACAAGATGCGGCATGGCAGAAAATGAAACAGACAATCAGGACCAAAAAAGGATTTGTCCAAACTTTGACGACACCATGTAATCAGGGGTTTGGGACACATTGACAGAAAGACGAGCAGTGCAGATTGAAATTCAAAGTTTACCTTGGTCATCACAAGCCTTAAGGTTACGACTGACGAAATGCACAAGTATAGTCCAACAAATGAGCCGAGCAAACCAAGGCAATGCATCTAGGGGCACAATACAAGCGCTTGGCTAGATAAACAACAGGGAAACATGAGATAGACGTGAATGACCAAAGTAGCGCGTGGTTCAAAGAGCAACTGGCTAAGCGCGTTACTTGAGGAAAATGTAGTCAAACTCAGGACGAATCTAAAGCCAACAGCCGAAGGGAACAGAATAGAGAACTTAATAAAACAACACGTTGTCACTTCAACTAGCCATTTCATTCCACAGCGTCACTGCCCACCGGGTGTCACACAAGGATCCTGTCATTTTGGTGCTCCGTCCCACGCACAGTCTACATGCTCTCTCAAAGCCCGTCTCCTCTCTTGTTGATGTGACTTTCTTCGACGAATGTTAGTGGCATCAACCTAAATTGAAATTATGGCAGCGCTGCCTCGTAAGCCTATCGATTGAATCGTCTTGCTAAGTGGCGTTCCGTTCGAGGGGCACGCTACATCGTACCTCAACTACGGTGATCAAAAAAAGTCATCACCTATGCCAGAAATTTTCTTCCATGTTCCTGCAATTAATAGTTGTTTCGTCAGCTCCAAATTCGTCGCATTGTGTGGCGTAATCTTTATCATGGTTAACTAATAAGTCAGTAAATGCAAGTCTCCGTTGGTTTGGGCAGTTCATAGCTTTGCTGAATAATCTGGTGTCCTACACACCTGACAGGCACATATTCCAAGGTACCATCCCTGGTGTCACAACCCAGCATGTACGCTGAAGTATGAAGCAAAAAAACCCAATGGAAAGCTTCTATTTTCTGCTTACTGTTAGGATCAGGAATCGCAACACACAGAGAGGCAACTGTGAGTTTTACTTACCTCAACATCACATCACGCAAATTTATGCTTCATTTCGTAATCAGTATGATTTTGAAATCCATCAAATTCGATCATTTCTCCGAGCTTGATAAAGGGATTGCATACGTTTCACCACCATGCGAGGTGGCATCTTCAGTGCGGTGATATGGAGTGCACAATCCTGCATATCACCGCACTGAAGATGCCACCTCGCATGGTGGTGAAACGTATGCAATCCCTTTATCAAGCTCGGAGAAACGATCAACAGGTGAGCAACCAACCTGGGCTACCAGTGTTCCAAATTATTTCGAAAATTCGATCATTGTTATAAAGCATATAAGTGTGGCTTTCATGATGAATCTACAGATCATTCAACACCCCCGATTGTCTAAATTTGTTCACAATTCCTATGTGCCAATATTCCTCTGACTATTTCGGAGCACTGTGAGAATACTTATATACTCAACCACAATAGTAAAGAATTAGGCGAAATCAGATCCGAAGAGCTTTCGGGAACTGAGAGGACACATCGAAAAGGGCCGCGATGTCGGTAGATGAAGCAATATCGATATTGAATTAGAATGATAATCATAATTCACTAACACCCATCAGTTGAGGACTGTTCAAAACTCAAGCGTGTACATGTATACAGATATACATCCATTCATTCGTTGTACGCTTATGCTCCGTTCGCAGTAAACGCTCGAAAGTCAGTTGCCGTGTGGATACTTACTGGTTATCCGTATGTTGACACAAACACAGCGATGACCTAGTGAGCAAAACGTCCAAATGAAGTGGTGAACTATGCGTAACTCGCGAAGTGGTTGCATGCAATAGGGTTCACATTTGAGACTCGCTCGGGCAGGCTATGACAGATGTCATCAGATGTAAACAAACTAACCAATGCGGTCACATCCGTGCACGGTGTGCGAATCGGCCATGCGGGTCGTGATGCACAAGCCGTCGGTGTAGGCGTAATCGCTAGCTACGAGGCACGTCGCATGAATTGCGCACACATAAACAACTACCAAATAGTCGTAGTAAGTGATAAACACAAAACGCAGGGACCAAATGATTGTTCGACTGCGATAAGCGATAATGATACGTACGGTGCACCGGGTTGGTAAACGTCACATTCCGGAACGAGTGGAGCCAACACCCTTCACATGTGCGTAGAAGAACAGCACACGTCCGGGCAGTAAGATTGCGGACGGATCGTAAACATGAAATGAAATCACGTGCGCCGAGCAGTTACTATGGCAAAGAAGTAGTGAAATCGGGCCATATGAGCATAGCAGATCTTTTAAACTGAGCTGCTAGTTTGTGAACTAGAAGGAAGTTTAGCAACAATCATAACTGTTTGCCGTTAGACTTAAAATCCGATAGAGACATACCAATGCGACAGAAGAAAAAGATCAACCAACCACGCTGGTCGGTCGGTAACCGAAAAGAAAAAGGGCGTGCTATGCAATCAATTCGAATCTGCGTAAGGGTATGCAACGTCGCAGTATACCCAACCGGCGGGCAGCTGGTGGTGGTAGCTCGAAAGCGAAGCGCGCAGCTGTTGCCTACTACCCTGACGCATACGCGTTGCCAATTAACGTCACTTACCAAGTAGTATCTGTGATATGGTGGCAAGTCTGAGTTAAAGCGCAAAACACAGACGCGACAATGCTCATACGGTCATCGTTTCTTTACGCCAACAAAAGTGTGCCATTTAGATAACCTCTCAAATGATTACGTCTTCAATGCAATCAGTTTTATCTGTGAGGCAAGAGCTCTCACCTCCGCAACGCTGAAAACATAATCCGATAACCATCGAAACTGCAAGCAGGAACGCAGTGAGTGACCAACCGCTGTCAACTATTAGCACTCGGACAGTACGCCAGCATGGCTGAGGAAAATAGACCAGCTTGATACAAAGAGCAATAGGGCATTCGGGATCGCGGTAGCAAAACTGAGCTAGACCAACGCAACGTATCAGACACACGCGTGGTCAAACTCACATGGATGGCAGTTAAGACATTGCTAAACAAACCTCAACCATCCGCTCGTTCAGGTGCGCAATGTGTCTTCGTGCGCTAGCATTGGACAATGTGGTGGGGGGACAGGTGATGGTTCACGACCTTGTCCACATCACAAAACCTGGGACCTAGAGGCAAGGCGAAGTCATCGCAGTTCAGGAGTCCAGATGAAGGAGGACGCGGCAGTGAACGTCTCCGGAACACGGGGTCAAACCTAAGGTGAGTAGAGGGAGTAATCAAGCCCGTTGTGAATGGAGTTAAAACGGTCTCTCAAAGAGGGTATGAACGAGCAAACGAGGTGTCCGTTTGAGGCGAGGGGACAGGTGGGGCACGGAGGGCCGAAACGAACAATGTTGACTTGGCATTCCGAATTGTGCTCTGCAAGAGGCAGATCGGTTGCCTCATTTTGATGCCGCATCCGCTATTGCAACCGGACTCTGGTTTACTGGGAGACGCAGTGCAAGCTAACGTTTAATCTCGGAGTCAAGTTGTTAATAACCTAAGGAAGAGAAGGATATCCAGCGCAGCGGAATGTCTACAATGTGCCCAACCT